TTGTGTATAAAGAACAAGTCAAAATATTAAAAAATCGAGTCAAATTTCGAAATTAAAAAAAAAAAATTAGTGGCAAGGAAAAAATCTCTTAAARATTGTTCTTTTTTTTGGTTATTGTTTTATCAGAAGATGTAAAAAAACAAAAATTTTGACATTTTGGTTCAAAATTGACTGTTTGTGATAATAAAAACCCCAGTAAACAGCAAAAAACAGTTTCATTATTTTTTTTAGTTATTGCTAATCAAATCTTCAGTCCATAATTGGTTAAAACTAAAAAAAAAGTAGTAAGTCAAGATTATTCCTTTATCAGATCAAAAAAATTCAAAATTTTAGTTATCCGAGAAAATAATTAGTAAAAAATTTATTCTTCGATAAAATTTTTTCTTTTTTTAACATTTGTACATAAAGAACAAGWCCAAATATTAAAAATTTGAGTCGAATATGGAAATGAAAAAATAGGAAAATTTTGGAGTGCCCAAAAGTAAGGAAAAAAATCTCTTAAAAATTGTTCTTTTTTTTGGTTAATGTTTTACGGAAAGGTGCAGAAAAAACAAAAATTTTGACCTTTTTGGTCAAAATTGACTGTTTCGGATGATAAAATCCCCAGTAAACAGCAAAAAAAAGTTTAAACATTTTTTTTAGTCATTTCTAATCAAATCTTCAGTCCATAATTGGTTTAAACTAAAAAAAAGAATAGTAAGTCAAGATTATTCCTCTATCAGATCAAAAAAATTAAAAATTTTAGTTATCCAAGAAAATAATCAGTAAAAAATTGTATTCTTCGATAAAATGTTTTTTAACATTTGTACATAAGGAACAAGTCCAAAAATTAAAAATTCGAGTCAAATTTGTAAATGAAAAAAAAATAGGAAAATTTTGGAGTTTCCAAAAGTGTTCTTTTTTTTGGTTAATGTTTTATGAGAAGATGTAGAAAAAACAAAAATTTTGCTATTTTGGGTCAAAATCGGTTGTTTGGGGTGGTAAAATCGTCAGTAAACAGTAAAAAAAAATTATTTTTTAGCCTTTGCTAATCAAATCTTTAGTCCATCATTGTTTAACATAAAAAAATAAATAGTAATCCAAGGTTATTCCTTTATCAGATCGAAAAAATTAATAAAAAATCGTATTTTTGGATAAATTTTTTTTGAAATTTGAAAATGAAAAATTTTAGTTGACTTTTTGGGATGAGGAAAGGTGAATTGAAACAAGTTGTATTAATTTAATCAGCAGTTTATATTTGTCTGATCAAGTGAGATTTCATAGAGCTGAGCACAACCACTTATGAATATAATACATCGACTTGAACAGTTTTTTCTCTCTCTCTCTTGTAACTTAATTTTTGACAACATCATCATGTACAAATAAATAGGGTATGTCTGTGATAATAATTTACAATATCCATGTATTCAAATATCACATTCACAATACAACAGCCTCATGAGTCGAATAAGAAATTTTTTTTTTGATAAAGGTAACACCTAATTCGGGATATAAAAATAGATAGTCATCAAAGTGCGATGGAAGGGAGTAATCATCAAAATCGCGCCTCTGGAGGCACATGCAACAACAATTATGACAACAGCCGGGATCAACAATTTCAAAAGATCAATCAAATAGTATATACAGAGTTAACGTTATTTGATAGTCGATATTTACAAAATTCATTATATACATCCGCAATATAGTAAATAGTTGAATGAAATTAGGCCTATGGTATTTGTACGCTTGTTTTTAGAGTGGACAGCGCCACCAACTAACATTGATATTTCCATGGGGGACAGTCAAGAGTGCTCAAGCGGTAACCAGTGTTGGGAGGCGATTTTCTCTCGTGTTATGGCACGAAATTGAATTTGAAGAAAAAGAAAAATTGAGATTATCAAAGTCCCAACACTGTTGGTAACTATGGAACAATGGCCTCGTTTTTTGCTAATCTTACATGTTAGTTGCTCAAGACACTTCGTTAAGGCATTCTCGATAAAACAGCTTCCTTCTCACAGCAAGAAAAGTTCGCCAAACGGTCCTGTTTTTTTCTGCCCAAAGTGTGCGTTTGGAGACTTGTATATTGACTTTTGTATTGGACTATTGACAACTTTTGTTGCATCATCAACAAAAATATTAAACCACTCAACAATTTTAATAATTATATAAAAAGAAGAACAAAAACACTAGTACGGAATGTATAAAAAGTTTTAAAGTGTGTGTTATTTGGCAACAAGTTTAAAACAGTAGTTATAATACCTATTAATTATTAATTAAAGCCATTTTTGTTAACTTGTCTCTAATGTTAAAACTATTCAGGTGTCTTGGACACGATAAAATATAGATACATCAACAAATCGAAACATTTACAAAAATAGGATTTGATATCAAACAATCAGTCTGCTGGCAGCGTAGAACTGGCTCGAGTTGCCGGTTGCGCATGTATTAAAAAACCCATACATACAAACACTGACACTTTTTTTAAGTTCCAAAAAGTCCACGAAAATAAATTAATCGACACTAATGGCACACACGTTGACGGGCCAGTGGCGTAACCAGGGAGGGTTCCAGGAAGCTAACTCGACATCGAGTTGGCGTTGCCGAAACCCTGGCAAACAGGCCTCTCGTTACGCCACTGAGACGGGCGCAGGGCCAAGAACCGACGAACGGGACAGCACGCATTTTGACCAAAAAATTTTCAAAATTTTTATTGATGAAAAATTTTTTCACACGAAAATCCTATTTTCCCCGAAAAATCATAATTTTTGAATAAAAGATATCAATTGAAGTATGCAAAAATCAATCAAAAAGAATTGTAATAATAATAAATATTGAAACAGTAAATGTAATGGTAAAAAATCGTTTTTTAAGTGTCCTTTAACTTTTCTTTCTATACAAAAAAATAAAACTTCAATAAACTAAAAATTTGAAAGAAGAGAAGGAAAACCTTGACTTTCCGAATATGTAGTAAAAAACTGTGATAAAATTAATGTTTTTAAACATTGATAATCTTGGGTTCATAATCGGTAAAAATAAAAAAAATCGTGTAAGTCATTGTGCAAGTGCAAGGTTATTGCTTTTATTAGACTAAAAAAATTGAAACTTAGTCGTAGATTTAATAAAAATTGTATTTTTCGATAAAAATGATTTCTTTAGATATTTATGCGTAAAAAACAAGCTGAAAAATACGAAAAGAGAAAAGGAAAACCTTGGACTTTTCAAGAGTAAAAAAACCTTTTTAAAATTGTTTTGTTTTTGTTTTTAAATACTGGTAAAGCTGTTTCGGGCGGTAACATGGCCTGTACACAGTTAAAAAAATTAAAATAAGTTTTTTAGTGATTGACAATCAAGTAAGTCAAGGTTATTGCTTTATCAGATCAAAAAAATTCAAAATTATTTTTATCCCAAAAAATAATTAATAAAAAATTGTATTCTTCGATAAAATGATTTTTTTAACATTTGTGCATAAAGAACAAGTCCAAATATTAAAAAGTCGAGTTACATTTCGAAATGAAAAAAATAAAAGAAAAATTTTGGAGTGTCCAAAAGCAAGGAAAAAATCAGATGTAAAAAACAAAAATTTTGATATTTTGGGTCAAAATCGTCTGTTTCGGATGGTAAAATCTCCAGTAAACAGCAAAGAAATATTTAATAAATTTTTTTATCATTGCTAATCAAATTTTTAATTCTTAATTAATTAAAATAAAAAAAATTATAGTCAAGGTAATTCCTTTATGAGATCAAAAAAAAAAAATTCAAAGTTCTAGTCATCCGAGAAAATAAACAATAGAAAACTGTATTCTTCGATAAAATGATTTTTTTTAACATTTCTGCATAAAGAACAAGTCCGAATATTAAAAATTCGAGTCTTTCGAAATGAAAAAATTAGATTGTTTTTTTTTAGTTATTGTTTTATCAGAAGACATTTTGGATCAAAATTGACTGTTTCGGATGGTAAAATTCCCAGTAAACAACAAAAAAAAATGAATTAATTTTTTTAGTCATTGCTAATCAAATCTTTAGTCCATAATTGGTTAACACTAAAAAAAGAGTAGTAAGTCAAGATTATTCTCTTATCAGACCAAAAAATTCAAAATTCTAGTTATTCGAGAAAATAATCAGTAAAAAATTGTATTCCTCAAAAAAATGTTTTTTTTTAATATTTGTACACAAAGAACAAGTCCAATTATTAAAAATTCGAGTCAAATTTCTAAATAAAAAAAAATAAAAGGAAAATTTTAGAATGTCCAAGAGCAAGGACAAAATCTCTGAAAGATTGTTTTTTTTTGTTTATTGTTTTATCAGAAGATGTAAACAAAAATAAAGTTTTAGACATTTTGAGTCAAAAAAAAATTTAATCCATTTTTGTAGTCATAGCCAATCAAATCCTTGGGCCATAGTTCGTTAAAATAAAAAAAAACAAGTAAGTCCAGGTTATTCCTTTATCAGAAAAAATCTAAACTTTAGTTATTCAAGAAAATAATTAATAAAAATGGTATTCTTGGATAAAATGATTTTTTTTAAAGATTTGTGTATAAAGAACAAGTTCAAATATTAAAAATTCGTGTCAAATTTCAAATTGAAAAAAATAAAATGAAAATTTTGGAGTGTCCAACGGCAATAAAAAAAATCTCTTAAAGATTGTGTTTTTTTTGGTTATTCTTTTATCAGAAGATATAGAAAAAACAAAAATTTTGACATTTTGGGTCAAAATCGGCTGTTTCGGGTGGTAAAATCGCCAGTAAACAGTAAAAAAAAATAATTAATTTTTTTAGTCATTGCTAATGAAATCTTTAGTCCATAATTGGTTAAAATAAAAAAAAATAAGTAGTAAGTCAAGGTTATTCCTTTATCAGATCAAAAAAAAATTAGTTCTACTTATCAGAGAAAATAATTAATAAAAAAATTTTTAAACGTTCACATATTAAAAATTCGAAAAAAAGAGAAGAAAAATGGACTTTCCAAGAACAAGGAAAAAATCTCTTAAAAATTGTTTTTTTTTTTGGTTATTGTTTTACCAGAAGACAAACAAAATTTTGACATTTTGGGTCAAATATTTAGTCTATAATTAATTAAATAAAAAATGGGTTGTATGTCAAGGTTATTCCTTTATCAGATGAAAAAAAATTAAATCTCTAGTTATCAGAGAAAATAATTTAATAAAAAATCGTATTCTTGGATAAAACGATTTTTTAAACATTTGAGAAGAAAAATGGACTTTCCACGAGCAAGTAAAATATCTCTTTAAGATTGATTTTTTTTCAACACTAATAAAAATGGAAACAAAAGTAGTGACTCATTGTGTAAATGCAAGGTTATTGTTTTGTAAAATTAGAGAAATTTTGACACTTTTAGTCATCGATTTTTGCTCATTTCTAGTCCAGGCGAAAACAGAAAAACTGATTATTTTCGACTTCGAATATAAAAAGCGGTCAAAAACGCCCATTTGGGCCAAAACTCGTACTAAACCGTTCACCTGCCCTTCAAAACGGAGATCATGTTTCAGGTCGCTTGTGCTTTTCATTCGATTCGCACGTAGATGAGCCGAGCGGAGTCGGTGCCGAGATCACAGTCGTCGCGTATGAAAAGAACACATTCGCCGGGTGCCAACTCGGCGGTGGGTAATTCTCACAGAGTCGTCGTCACCACCGAGAGGCCATCTTCGCTGGTCACCGTGTGACTCGCATGCATATGGTGCTGTTGGAGGTGATGTTGGGGTTGCTGCTGCTGCTGTTGCTGCTGCTGTTGCCCCCCCATCTTGCTCTCCTTCTTCATCCTCTGCTTGAGATGCACCTTCGCGTGTCGCTTCTTCTCGTCGCTGCGGGCGAACTTCCTCCCGCAGACGTCGCACGAGAAGGGCTTCTCCCCCGTGTGGGTGCGAATGTGGGTGGTGAGATGGTCGGAGCGCGAGAAGGACCTCATGCAAATCCGGCACTGGAAGGGCTTTTGGCCCGTGTGGATGCGGATATGGCGGGTGAGTTCGTCCGATCTCGAGAAACGCCGATCGCAGTTCTCCACAGGACAGGCGTATGGGCGCTCATGGACCGGGGTTTTACTCGGCCGATTGGGGTATTTCCGGGGCTTCACCGGGACGAGTTTCAGAGGGACTGGGGATTGTTGGTACACCTGGGAGAGGATTTCGTGGCCTTTACTCGTTGATGGGTTATACTCGGCTAGCTGCACACCATAGGAGGAGTTTGAGGATTGTTGGATTTCACTCGAACACCCCGCACTGAAAGGTTCCTGTTTTGGTACTAAATTCGACGTGCACGCACTTGAACTTGGGTTGGTATAGTCTTGGGAGTCCCATTGGTACTTGGTGGTACTAGCGACCAAGGGTTGGCCCACACGAGAGTACACCAAATCTTGTTGTTGTTGCAACTCTAATTGGAGACTCGTCGAAGCTGAACAACTTGGGTAGCTTGGAGGTTGTTTCAAGGCCCCACAATCCATACTCATGAGTTGGTCCTCGTATTGCGTGCCAGCGGGTGAGGGAGTCGCTGAAGGGTATTGTTGTTGGGGCGATTGGGAACTCCCTTGACCCAGAAGTCCGAACATTGCCGGATAAATCGGCTTATCTCCACTTGATAACAACCAAGGATTCACCGTCGAGGGGGAATGAGCCATACCCTCCACTGACTGCATCTGGATGTTCCCCGACATGTTTGGACTCGATGCTGAGGTGTAGACAGTTCGATGGTGCATTTTACCCATGTTGTTTGCGTGAGATGTTCCCGTAGGATACATACTAAGAGTGCTATGGTTCGTGTTTTCTTCTTCACGAAGACTTGGACTTAGAGCACTGTCTTGGGGAGTCCCGCGTTCGCCGATATGACTACTAGGCGAATGGTGAGGACTTAACTGCTGCTGTTGCTGGTCCAAAGTGAGCTCCTCCGGATCAAGAGAGCCTGAAATACCACACAATTATTACTAACACAGTTCACTGAAAGTCTATCAAGGAAAAGCTGACAAAGTGCACACGTAGACAAGCGAAGTGGCGGTGCGACACGTGCTTATCGCCGCCTGAAACGGCCTGAAACCCGACCCGAACGCTGGTCAAAAACTGAAAAATTTGACTTTTTCCACTGTCAAGATAATATCCGCCAAAGGAGAGTTTTTGCGATTATCCTCATTTTTCATGTTATATTTTAAAATAATTACTTTTTTGTAATTACGAATGTTTTTTTTTATTACGCTGGAACAGACTCAAGTAGCACATAACCAAACATAATTTATCGAATAGTCGGTCAAAAACTGAAAAATTTGTCTTTTTCCACTGTTATTAAAATAATATCCGCCAAAGGTTTTTTGCGATTTTCGTCATTTTTCATGTTATATTTTAAAATAATTACTTTAGCTTTTTTTGTAAATTGTGAAGATTCGAATGGTTTTTTATTAAGGTGGAACAAACTCAAGTAGCACATAACCAAACATAATTGATCGAATAGTCGGTCGAAGATTGAAAAAGCCATCTTTTTCCACTGTTATTAAGATAATATCTGCCAAAGAAAGAGAATCAAAGAGTTTTTTTGCGATTTTCGTCATTTCTCTTGTTATATTTTAAAAAATTATTTCCGATTTTTTTGGAAATTCCAAAGATTCAACTAAAAAATTGGTCCCTTCTACTAAAATGTGAGTTTTGGGAGTTTTTTCTTGCGATTTTCTTCAATATTTCAGCATTGTTCATGAATATGAGTGTGGTTTTCACAGTTTTGCGTAATAACACTATAAAGTGGGTAATTGGGTTTGTATTGATGAGTGTTGTGTGTTGATAAGATAGCATAAGGAAGAGAATCAAAGAGTTTTTTTGCGATTTTCGTCAGTTCTCGTGTTGTATTTAAAAAAATATTTTAGCTTTTTTGGAAATTCCAAAGATTCAAAAGTTTTTTTTTATTTAACTAAAATGTTGGTCCCTTCTACTAACTAAACATAATTTATCGAATAGTCGGTCAAAAACTGAAAAAATTGTCTTTTTCCACTGTTATTAAGATAATATCCGCTAGAGAGTTTTTTTGCGATTTTTGTCATTTTTCATGTTATATTTTAAAATAATAATTTTTGCTTTTTTTGTAAATTGTGAAGATTCGAATGGTTTTTTATTAAGGTGGAACAGACTCAAGTAGCACATAACCAAACATAATTTATCGAATAGTCGGTCAAAAATTCGTCTTTTTCCACTGTTATTAATTTAATTCTTGCCAAAGGAAGACAATCAAAGAGTTTTTTTGCGATTTTCGTCATTTCTCTTGTTATATTTTAAAAAATTGCTTTAACTTTTTTTGGAAATTCTAAAGATTCAAAGGTTTCTTTTTGTTTAACTAAAAAATTGGTCTCTTCTACTAACCAAACATAATTTATCGAATAGTCGGTCAAAAACTGAAAAATTTGTCTTTTTCCACTGAAGATAATATCCGCCAAAGGAGAGTTTTTTGCGATTTTCGTCATTTTTCATGTTATATTTTAAAATAATTACTTTAGCTTTTTTTTGTAAATTGTATTAAGGTGGAACAGACTCGAGTAGCACATAACCAAACATAATTGATCGAATAGTCGGTCAAAGATTGAAAAGTTCATCTTTTTCCACTGTTAGTAAGATAATATCTGCCAAGGAAGAGAATCAAAGAGTTCTTTTGCGATTTTCGCCATTTCTCTTGTTGTATTTAAAAAAAAATATTTTGGCTTTTTTTGGAAATTCCAAAGATTCAACTAAAATGTGAGTTTTTTGCAATTTTCTTGATTATCCATGAATTTGAGCGTGGTTTTCGCAGTTTTGGTTAATAACAGCACTATAAAGTGTTGATTCGTGTTGGGTGTTGATAAGATAGCATGTGGATCAATGCTTGTAGTAAATCGGGATGAATGGAGTCTCGTTGAATGGTGTGTGGTATTGATCGAGGGCGAGTCCAAGTGGCGGCGCACTTGTTGCGGTAGCCGCCGCCGTGACGTTTGTCTTGTGGTAATGTCGGTAATAATAATAATAATAAGTGTAGCCATAACAGTGTGACGCAAGATCTATAATTAGTCCGGAGGTCCGCCAGTGGTGTAAATATAGCCGTCTTTGGCGGACTCACCTGTGATGGGCGGCGGTTCGACGACGGTGGAGGGCCCGAAGAAGGAGGGAATGTCGCTGGAGGTGGTGACGGGGGTGTTGAGATCTCCTCCGGAGACGGCGGGTTCGTCGGCGGTCGTGCAGGCGGC